ATTTCATAATATTTCAATTTTGTATATTAACTGCTAAATATAAATTGGGTCAAGTTTTTTGTCGTATTTTGAAAGCTAAATTACTGCGTAATTACGGGTCGGGTCAAGTTTTTGGCACTGTCTCAGGGGAATTGAATTGACATAAAACACACAGAAAAATAACACGCACTAGGGTCGCATCAGAGCTTAAGTGATCTTATAAGAGAAAATGGGTACTTCAGACTAATGTTACAATCATTTCATAAGAGATAGAAAGTTCTAGAGAAATTTAAGGGGCATATTTATAGCCAAAACCATACTGCTATAACATAACATAGCCATGATCGATTTGCGATCCTCAATTTATAGGTGTAAACTAAAGTTAGTAATACAAAATAAACTACAAAAACTACTACAACAACAAAGCCTTAATCCAATACGTGGGATCGGCTACACAAATCTTTTTTCTCCAATGCGTCCTATTTAGTGTCATATTTTCATTTAGTTCTAATAAATTACGATCATTTTTTATACAATAAGCCCAAGTCTTTCTAGGTCTACCTCCGTCTTTCTTAACGTACGTTGAATCTAAAACATCTACTCTCCTAATCAGATGATCAGATGGTCGACGTTTAATGTGACCAAATCTTCTAAAACGGCTCTCTCTAAATTTGTCCGTCACTGGAGCTACACCAACCGTATCATGGATATATTCATTTCGCATTTTGTCTCTAAGTGCAAAAACCACTCATCCACCTAATCATTCTCATCTCGACAACACTTAACTTAATATTATGCTTCTCTTTTAAAAGCTAACATTCAACGCTATATGGCATTGCAGGTCTCACCACCACCACCAACAACAACAATAACAACAAAGCCTTAATCCCACACAAAAGCATCACCAACAACACCAACACTAACAACAATCTTCATTGCGTCTTATTTAGTGTCATATTTTCATTTAGTTCTAGTAAATTAAGATCATTTTTAATACAATAAGCCCAAGTCTTCTTAGGCCTACCTCTGTCTTCCTACCTCTGTCTTTCTTAATGTCTTTCTTAACACAAGTCGAATGTAAAACATTTGCTCTCCTAATCGGATCGTCAGATGGTCAACGTTTAATGTGACCAAACCATCTAAGAGGACTTTCCCTAATTTTGTCCGTCACAGGAGCTACACAAACCCTATCACGGATATATTCATTTCGCATTTTGTCTCTAAGTGTAAAGCAACTCATCCACCTAATCATTCTCATCTCAGCAACATTTAACTTATTATTATGCTTCTCTTTTAAAGGCCAACATTCAGCACCATAGAGCATTGCAGGTCTCACAGAAGTGCAAACCCCAACCAC